ACGCAGACGCAAAAGATAGTATCGTCTTGGCCAGAGTATCTATTGACTTGGTTAGTGGGCTGGCCAACATCTGTGATGCTGGACTGACCCGTATGCAGAACATGCCTCTTCCTTCGCCAGACTTCATGGACACGACGGACGCCTCAGCCACACCGCAAGATTCCATACCTCTAGAACTCGAATCGTGCCACAGGGATCGGGCAAAAGAGACCCTGCAAATTAGACTCCGAAACGTGGTCGATAGAACGGGACTTGACCTGGCCGCCACAACCTCTTCCGCCTTCGCAGACTCGATCCTGCCCCACCTTCGGACCGTCACTACATTTGCTACTATGCGTCGAGGCAAGAACACCAAACCCGCGTCTCGAGCAGCTTTCTGTCGCTGTCAGCTGTACGCGCCCGGTGAGGGACGCAGTATACACAAATTGGTTGTCGAGATACGGTGGACCTTGGGCATGTCAGTGGTTGAGGACCTAGCCGTCACACACCATTATATGGCCGCGGATCTGAGTCTTCTCCGCGTCTACATGACTGACGAGTTTACAAGAGGCGACAAGAAATGGACTTTGTCTGATTTCTACACTTCGGTTCATGTGCCAGCAGCAGACATGGATGTCTCCCCACGCATCAAACAGAGTTTGCTCGAGACCAAGCTTCTACCTTTCCAAGAGAGGACCGTTGATTGGCTCTTGCGTCGAGAAGGCGTTGCATTCTCATCCTCTGGGCTGCTCGAGCCATTCGTCAACAGTTCGCCACCAGCATCGTTCAGGCAGACTCAAGACGCCCTGGGAACACCGTGCTATGTCAGCTATCTCCGAGGCTCTATTGTTACAAATATAGATGCAGCCAAGGACGACGCTCTGCGGTCACTGCGCGGCGGCATACTCGCCGAAGAGATGGGCTTAGGTAAAACAGTCGAGCTAATCGCACTCATATCCCATCACAAGCGAGACATCCCCAAAGGAAACGTCTACGACGTATACACTGAAGCTGAAGTTAAGCCCTCAGGTGCTACGTTGATCATCACTCCACCTTCGATCCTAGAACAGTGGATGAGCGAATTGCGCACTCACGCCCCTGATCTCAAAGTCTGCCATTACAAGGGTCTCCCACCTCCGACTGCACCAAAGAGTGTCCATGCACCATCTACCATTGAGCATCTCCTGCAATACGACGTAGTGCTAACGACGTATCATGTGCTCTCGAAAGAGATTCATCACGCTGTACCTCCCCCGGAGCGCAGCTCTCGACGCCCCAAACGCCACGAGCGTCGCACTAGCCCTCTCGTCGGCATCTCCTGGTGGAGAGTCTGCCTAGACGAAGCGCAAATGGTGGAGCGTGGGGTCAGTCAGGCCGCCCAAGTAGCGCGGATCATTCCGCGGTGTAACGCCTGGGCAGTTTCCGGCACTCCTCTTCGCAAGGACGTCCAGGATCTACGTGGGCTTTTGATCTTCCTCAGATGTGACACATTTGTAAACCACGAGGCCATCTGGAATCGCCTCGACAAAGCGTCGTTCAAGAGCATTTTCAGCGAGATTGCCCTACGGCATACCAAGGACAGAGTTCGCGATGACCTTCAGATACCGCCTCAGAAACGCGTTGTCATTACAGTTCCTTTCACAACTATCGAGGAACAGAACTACAGCGAAATGATGCGTCAAATGTGTGATGCATGTTGGCTCACACCTGAAGGGCAGCCCTTGGAAGAAGGTCGCGACGAGACCCATCCCCAGGTTGTCGAGCGCATGCGGGAATGGCTGGTCAGGCTGCGCCAGACGTGTCTCCATGCAAACGTGGGTCGAAAGAATCAAAGAGCCTTGGGTGGAAAGAAGGCGGCTTTGCGCACCGTACACGAAGTTCTGGAGGTCATGATTGAGCAGAACGACACCAAATGGAAGTCAGAGGCTCGCGAAATGATTCTATGTCTGATCAAGATGGGTCACATTCATGCTTATTCCGAAGATCCAGTACACGCACTTGAGTACTACTACAAAGCCCGAGAAGAAGCAGAGACATATATCAAGATATGCAGAGGCGAGCTACGCGCGGAGCAGCAGAAGCTGGGCCGCGCATCTACAGCTGACCTTCGTGAGGCTGATGAAGAGCAAGATGTAGCTGCAGATAAGATGGGCCGTATCCCGATTCTGCGTAAATCGCTACGGTCATTTCTGGAGCTTCAGCATGCCGCTCAGTTCTTCAGCGCCACTTCGTTCCATCAGAGAAAAGAATTGCGAATGTACAACACGGACCCAGGATCGGATAGGTGGCGCGAGTGGGACGAGTCTGAGACATCTTACTACGAGGCGGCCAGGGCCATTCGCCATGAGCTGCTGGAGGGATCGAAGAGTAAAGCGCAGCAGCAAATGGCCAAAGTCAATACCAAAACGCCTCTCCAATTGCCTACGATCGCTGACCTCCCAGGTCTTGGGGGTATTGAAGCGCGAAAGATTTTTGACACGATGGACAACATCAGTGATTATTTGAATGAGCAAGCTCAGCAGATACACGCTTGGCGCACAAGAGTTATTGACATTCTTCTTACGCGCTTGGTTGATGACGAAGACGACAAAGAGTTGACAGGAGAAGAATACGATGACTCGCTCAAGGCCCAGGATGAGCTATACGTTTACATCATGGCTCTTCGAACACTTGTCGCAGACCGCAACGCTGCTGTAAACGGTCTACAGGACACTCTTGTCGAACACGAGCTTAGGGCTGCCGAAAAGCAAGCCCTGAGGAAAGACAACGACGAAGGCGATCGCGGTCACGCACCTCAACTTGTGCTTGAAGTTGTCAGGAGACGACGCGAACTGCAAGCGAAACTCCGGGCTGGATCTTTGAGGGGCGTTATCTCTAGTATTCGCTCCTTGATGACTACTCTGCAATGGAAAGCGAACAGTGGTGATGTCCGCGCTTCTTCCGAGCTCGAAATCCTTCAGACGCACATCACTAAGGTTCAGGCTATAGTCACAGAACAGGCAAAGGTTATCACTGAACTTGAGAAAGAGCAGGAACTGTATCGAGGCACCATGAACCAACGTCTAGAGTACTATCGGCAGTTTCAACATATCTCCGATACCGTCGCAAAGTACAAGGAGACGCTAGACAGCAGATTCGACCAGCGCGAGTTTGATAGAACCGACGACTTGCGAGAGAAACGCGAGAACAACGCCAATGGCTTCAAAACAAAGTGCACATATCTGAAGCATCTCCGGAGTGAAAATCTGAAGGAGACGACAGCCGAATGTATCATTTGTAGGGAAGACATTGAGATCGGAGTCTTGACGGCTTGCGGTCACAAGTACTGCAAAGAGTGCATCAATCAATGGTGGCAGGCACATCGGACCTGCCCAACCTGTAAGCAGAAGTTGGGCTCGTCTGACTTCAAGGATATTGTCTTCAAACCGACCGAAATCAGAGCGAAAGAAGAGATAGACGCAGCTGCCAGTCGGACGCATGCTTCTACGCCAGGCTCTTCGTCCACCACGTCCACCACGTCCATCTACTCTGACCTGTCTGACTCAACTATGAAAGAGATCAAGATGATCGACCTGGAAGGCTCATACGGCACCAAGGTAGATATGATCGCGCGTCATTTGATCTGGATCCGCAACAACGACCCTGGTGCGAAGTCCATCATCTTCTCCCAGTTTGGCGACTTCCTCGAAGTGCTCTACGAAGCGCTGAAAAAGTGGAAGATTGGTGCCAGCAGTATCACTGACAAGAACGGCATCCGGGAGTTCAAGCTAGATCCCAGTGTCGAGTGTTTGCTCCTGGATGCAAAAACCGATTCTTCAGGCCTAAGTCTTGTAAACGCTACCTACGTCTTCCTCTGCGAACCGCTCATCAACCCCGCGATCGAACTCCAAGCCATCAACCGCGTCCACCGAATCGGGCAAGAACGACCCACGACGGTTTTTATGTACCTTATCAGCAACACAGTCGAAGAAGCCATCTACGATATCTCTGTTGCCCGCCGCCTCGAGCATATCAGCAACAACACATTGTCGAAAACACCCATGCAGTCTAATCCCACTACTCCCGCTATCAAAGAACAGACACTGGACGCTGCGAACTCGGCTGAACTCCAAGCTGCGCCTGTCAAACAGCTCCTGCGCAAGAAGGGCGAAGGAGAGATTGTCAAGGAAGACGACTTGTGGCACTGTCTTTTTGGCAAGCAGCGGAAAGCGGCGAAACCTATAGTGGAGAGGGAGGTTGGCCGTGAACTAAGGGCGCAGGCAGCAGAGGCGAGGATCATGGGATCGCCAGATGCAGGTCCCCGTGGCGCGTCGTCGACTGCGCATTCGGGCACGTTGGAACAGGGTGCGGTTCAAACTTTACCAATCCTTGTAAACAATACGCCAACTTTTGATCTTCCCGCAGCTGCCCGATCGAGGCAAGAACGTTTGGCGCCATTGGCCCCCGATTATGTAGCACATCCCTTGAGGTAATCATGTCAGTATTGCAATAGCGTGGTACTGGGTAGCTGTATTCATATACTCGAGGCGTACTTGATGAGATCTACACGAATGAGATACAAAGATGTATATATATTGAAAGGATGACAAAATGCACCTAGGCGTGCATGGGTCTTATACTCGCCGAATAATATGATTAGAACACAGCTCGTACATGTGTTGACACGAGTTACATCATAGCGTTTGACAGTGATGGACGAACATTGGACTAGACATTCCACATCGAAGCATGGCTGAAGATTGCAATGGTGGTTTTCATATTTGATCAGTAAGAGGAATAGCTCGTAGAGAGCGACTAAAGGCCTGCCTATGTGGTATCATGCTAAAAAGAGACACAAACGCCGGAACCAAATGCAAACGCAGATGCAGTGAGGATGCCAGCCCAGGATAAAGAAGGTCCGAAACGCCAGCGCTAACAAGAAAAGGGGAGTAGTAGCAAAGAGGGGAAGAATATATGTACGAAGAGAAGAGAAAAAGCATCACATGACTGGACCGACCAACCGAAACAAGGTGTTGCAGCGCCTACACTCTAGGCGTCCTCCACTCCCTCACCTCCTGGCGCCCACCTTCATCAAACCCGGCCCGCTCCATGAGCTTCGTGAACGTAGTGTTCGCCGAGTCTGCCGTGAAGCGATTGTCGCGCCGCATACCAGGTGCCTGTGGAGGCGCCAGGAAACTCGGTGCTGGCATCAAGACATCAATGGTCTCCGAACTGCCGCTGCGCGCGACATTCGGACGCTGTTGCCCTTGCTGTGTGTTGAATGTCTGCGTGCTGGTACGGAGGGAACTCGAGCGCCGACTAGCAGAATGAATGCGTTTGGGCTTGGGAGGCGGGGTCTGGTACGGATCTGTGTAGTTCCCTGCGCGCACGGGAGGAGGGTGGAGAGGTGCAGGGTTTGCTGGGAGACCGCCCGTGAAGCCAAAATTCAGTTTGGGGGTACGGTCCCACATGCTTTTTATCCTGGGGGTAAAGCCGTGGACGGGCGGGTTGGCGTTTGTTTCCTTCATGCCTCGGACGATTCGGTCGGTGGAGTTGGGGCTCGAATGCGCGGAGTGGCTGCCCCGGCGCATGAAGTCGGTCCGGGCGGCGTGCTGGGGGTCGTAGATTGGGTCGCTGATTTGGCGTGCTACATGGCCGAAGTCGCCGGAGTAGCGCTCTTTAGATTGTGACTCGCGCCTTTTCTTGATGATCCAGATCAGGGCGAGGGTGCTGAGGGCGCCGATGACTATGCCGGGGAAGAAGCCAGCTGCGAAGGACCGGCCGTCGAAGCCCTGCTTGGTTTGGACGGGTGCGGTGGCTGAGCAGTCGGAGGTTTGGGAGGCGGACGCCGGGCTGGTGGAGGAGGGTGTCGGGTTTGCGGTTGACGTTGGGGACGGCGATGACGATGGCGAGGTGTCCTTGGCGCACATAGTGCCCTGGCACGTGTAGCCCAACGAACAGCACTTGTCGCCGCATTTGGGCAGGTCAATGCCGTCGGTCTCTGAGAGATGCATCTGGTTGTCGGGATGGAGCGTCGCGTTCAGCTGCGTGGTGTCGCAGGTGGTGGGCTGGATGTAGGCGCAGTCCGAGCCGGACGGACAGCAGATGACTGATTGTATGTCTCCGCCGTTGAGAGACATGCAGGTTGAGTCTTTGGGGCAGCAGAAAGAGGAAGGGAAGTCGGATCCGCACTGTTGGAGGCCTGCGCTCCCTCCACATGTTTCTGCTTGGCGGAGGAAGAGACTGGACGCGTGTGCCGTGGGGATGAGGGATAGGAAAAGGCAGGCGAGGGATATCCTCGAGAGCCTGGGAGAGGGTGTGACTGGAGCCATGGTGGTGGAGATGGAGGTGATGGCGGTATTAGGTTGAAGAGGTCGGGCCTGCGAACCTCAAGTGACTCGGAATGAAACAAAGAAATGAGAGAGCGATACGGAAGCAGAGTAGGAACAACGGAACAGACAAAGACACGGCCTACCTTGGGTATATCTACCTGCACGAGCTAGACTCGAGGAGCCGCGAGTGACGTTCCTCACGGCGAGAGTGTTCTGAGAATAGAGGCAGCCGAGGCGCCGAGTGGACAAGAGGCATTGTATGGTGGGCGGAGGGTCTGGCTAGCAGCGTCTGGTGGCAGGTGACTGCGGTGCTTGTGTGGCTCTGCGTGGACAAGCAGGCGAGTGGGTGAAACGAGTGACGCGGGCGCTTGGAGCTCGGCGCGTCGTGATTGGGCGGGGGCTAGCGCGACGATGCAGAGGCCGGAAAAAGATGAGCAGCGAGCAACGGGCTGCCGACTCCAGTTCGCCCGCCGCCCGTAACGACAGCACACATGATGATTACACGCTGTCTGGCCCGCCGGCCGGGAGCCATGCAGTCTGCAGCCGGGGCGTCGAGGGTGTCGTGGAGACGGCCGCCGCCCGCCGCCCGCAGCCTCTACACAGTGCCCCCGCTGGACAACCACGCCCAGCTCGAGCAGAACGGCATCCCGGGCGTGCTCTCGCCCACGGGCTTCCGCACCGCCTACACCGAGTACCAGGGCCACATCGTCGACGAGCTGAATGCATCCACCGCCGGTACGCCAGCGCCCCGCCGCGTCCAGGGCGCTGCCACAGGCTAACGTCGCTCTGCAGGTACGCCGTGGGAGAACCAGGAGGCCAAGGCCCTCGTCGTCGACTTCGCCCGCGACCCGACCAAGGCCTACGCCTTCAACATCGCCAGCATGGCCTTCAACAACCACTTCTTCTTCCGCGGCCTCAACACCAACCCCGACGTGCACGCCCAGCCGTCCAAAGACCTCCACGCCCACATCAACAGGCACTTCACCTCGCTCGACACCCTGCGCGACACCTTCCTCGCCACCGCCGAGTCCATGTTCGGCCCCGGCTTTGTCTGGCTCGTCCAGACCAACGACAACAGCCTGGGCGGCACTCTGCGCATCCTGCCCACCTACCTGGCCGGATCGCCTCTGTCGGGCGCCCACTACAGGCGCCAGTCCCACGACCTCAACACACACAACGCCGACTCGTACCAGAACATGAACAAGGTGGGCTCCTTCGGCGTGGCCGCGCAGCAGGACCAGAAGCCCAAGAAGCCGTTGGGCGGCGTCGATGTAGTGCCGCTGCTGTGCGTCAACACGTGGGAGCACGTCTGGCTGCACGACTACGGTGTCCGCGGGAAGAGGGCCTTCCTCGAGCAGTGGTGGGACAGGATTGACTGGGACTTTGTCGGCCAGAACACAACGCTGAAGAGCAAGAGCCCTCGATCTTTCATGGGCGCCTAGAAATTAGGCCTGTACACTGCATGTAGACATATATGTACAAGACATTTTGAAACTACGTCAAGGCATCTCTGCATGCATGGCGCCGGGCGTCGACTCGGGCATCTAACAACGTGCGACCTCGCCCACTTTGCCCGTGAAGAACATGTGTCTGTACTTGCTCACTGACCACCATGATTCAAACGCCCTCAGGCATCGCTGCAGCTGCATGCCATTCCGAACGCTGTCCAGGCCTTGTCTTCTCCCATTGCAGGCTATACGGGATACGGCGCGACATGTACTGGCCTGCAGCTCACCACTGCCAGTGGCCCAAACCGGCTCTGATCACCACCACGTCCTCAAATCTTCACCGGATCGTCTTCTCACACCACCAGATGCCGGCCTCTCAAGGCAGACTCAAAGTACACTTTCGCGATGCGCTTGTCCACTCTTCTCAGCCTGAGCCTCGGAAATCATCAGGTGGCCAACTCGCGCCCGTATAGCCGGCGTCATCCTGTGCCACACCGTTGGCGCGCCTCTAGTCAACTGTTGACGCGCAACACCTGAAGACGTCCGCGCATACTTCGGACTAGGCATGTGGACAGGTATACCGACAGCAAAGGCTGCCAACACGTAGTCGAGTTCCAGTTGAGGGCCAAATCCCTCGAGGCCTCCCACGCGCGGACAACCAAGGACATTTATTGGAAACACTGACGAGAGCGCACCGCCTCCGCCTTGCATGCTTACAATGCACTGATTTTCGCCCAGCCCTGCGGCAACTTCTGCACAAGTTCAACACTTCGCGTGCTCGCCTGCCTTCAGCCGTGCATCTTGGCCAATCACCAGGCCGTGATCTTCGCCGGATTTAGTCGTCGGTCAACCAGCGCCCTGCATTAATTCCTACACTATGACCTCACACGACTCTAGGGTTAGCTAGTCGGTAACACATATCGAAGGATTTCGACTCTCTTCGCTGCGGGTGCCTTTTTCCCAAGTCTCCGATTCTCCACACTGCTCTTTTTGTCTCTTTTTTCCAATCTGGTATTGCATTTTCTAGCGGGAGCATGGCAGTGCTTGCGGATATATTACCGGTGGTGTCGAGGAGCTCAGCTCTCGCGCTGAAGCTATACGGCGTTGCTGTGGAGTCGCCTGAGGCCGCGAAAGACCTAGTCGCCGTTGCAAACAAAACAAATGGTTTCGCTGCAATACTCAAGCAGCTAGGGACGATCATCAAAGAGGACGATCGTTTGCCGTCACCTGAGGTACGTAAGGACGCGCGAGTCGTGCTGCAATTACGGGAAAGCATGGCCTATTCCAAGATCGGAGTGTTGTACTGGCATAATCCCAAAAAGACTTTGGGAATCACCAATCTGCTCTGTCCGATCAAGGGAGTTGAAGACATTAGACAAGGAGGAGCGAATGCTTATGCTTCGTTAAATGAGGTCGTGGACGCCCTCGCTGACATTCATATAGGCCATCAACACCCTGGACGATGCCATCGATCAGGCTCAGAACTTGCTTACCAGCGTCGAGATGGCTACCTCGATCGAGAACGACAAGTTCCATGACCGAAGAGACAGTGTTCGCTCTACTCAGCACAGCCATCCCCGTTTAGATCATTCGACCAAGGCAAGCTTAGACTATTTCACAGCTCACCTGGAAGCCCTGAGTATGACGCTCTCTGTTCTACTGCAGACGTTGTATGCAGCACAGACTATAATGTGGTCAAAGTAAGTTTTACATCCTTACACTGCACTCGGCCTCTGACCCAGTCGCATCCGCATAGCTCTATCTTCTACTTGAGGTACATCTTGGCTTGGAGTAGTATGCTGCTGACAGTCGTTCAGGTTACGTCCCACGGTATCTCCGCAACAAGCCGCTAAACTTGTTGACAACGAAAAGATTCAACTCGAGGCACTCATTGTTCAACAACAACTATCCATCTTATCAGCTTCAAACTTCTACGAACAATCGCCACGGTCTGATGCGCGCTTATTGATGGAGGCAGACAGTTCCCAGAGCTTAGTTGTCACAGAGCATGGCGAAAGCCCTAGGCCGACCAGCCTTCGATCTTATCAGGATGAGGACCTGAGAAGCCTCGACACGTCGGTATACACCGAAGCGAATGGTCTGCCTGCGGTCTTCAGTATATCGGCTTCGCGCGCCGAGCACTTGCTACAACAATGGACGAGTCTGCCTCTATTTGAGCGCCGCTTACGAGACGAAGAACGTGAACTACAAAGGCAGAGACAAGAGTATCAACAAGCTACTGTAGAGTCAGATAGCGAAGAAGAGCAGAGCCGCACATCAAAGCTTTCAGGTGATGGCGCTCGGCGAACACAAAGGTCGGGCAGCATACAGCCGCTGTTCACTGAGGCCAGCAGCCTGTCCAGTCCACACCCGGAGAAGCATTACGGTCCGCCTGCACCGCCAACACCGATCGCTACACCTCGTACATCACAAGCGAGCATGCCTGCTACAAATGAACAGCAAACAGCTGCTTCGCCCCGATCCAGTCTAGGTAGTCTCCCCATCGAGGCTGCCGCCGCGGTAGAAGCGAAAGAGGAAGACAGTGAAGTCGATCTAGAAATACCTTGGAAGTTGTGTGCGCGCAAATACTACTGGCGCTTTGTCGATGCCAAGCAAGTCAGCTCGAATACTGATCAAGCGTATTCACTTGCATATTTGGAACGTAGCAGTTGGACCGAGATCATGGCTAGTTGGGTGTGCAAGGAAGCAATCCGAGAGGCAGGTTTCAGGTTTACACAATATCAAAAGGAGCGGAGGGATAGTAGGAGAACGAGAGGGGAGACATGCTTCTGCATCGAACGTCCATTGCAGTTTGACCAAGTCAAACGTCTTGTTGAACGTACCGTTGACATCTACCGGAAAGCAGCACCACAGACTCCACCCCAACAACCACAAGCCAGGAGATCATCTTTCCATCGTGCCCCACCGCCACCTACTGCTCTAAAAGGAAGCGCATTCGACCGCGACAGGACACCGGTGCCGCGAAACACACATCCCCCGCTTGATCGCACGAACATGATGCACTACGCACCGCCGCCTGGGCCACCCCCACTAGACCGATCACTCTCAATGCCTGGACCGGGACTCGTCCCACCGCCACCCCAACAAAAGACCAACACCCGCACTCCAAATCTCCAGATACCGGTACCCAGTCAATATACCCCTCAGCAACCACCACGCCCTCATTCCCCACGAATCCCACAGTACCCACCTCAAGCCAACGGATACCCATCCCAGCCGATGAACGCACCACCATACTACCCACCACCTCCAAACACCCCTTTTGCAAACGCACCCGCGCCCCCACATGCACCAATCCAAAACCAGAATTACCCTGTACAAGCCTCACCTCTCCGCCAATCCTACATGAACCCCAGTTATGCCGGCAACCGACGACATGACGACGACTTTACCACATCCGAGTCTGAGCTCGAACGCCCAAGACGGCGCAGATCCAAATCGAGGAGTAGAGCGTATGAGAAGGAGAGGGAAAGGGACAAGTATGGTAAGAAAAGTCACACAGGGAGGAAGGCCGCGGCGGGCGCGTTGCTG